AAAAAAACACACAAAAACCTGCAGTGTCTCCAGCTCCTGATCCTCTGGCCTCCCCTCTCCTGGAAAGAGTCTCCTGGTCACCAACTCCCTCACGCATAGCCCCCAATTCCTCCTCTCCCTTCCCTGCCCCTTCTGGCTTCTGTCCTCCTGCTAATGTTTCTAGGTGCCAAACCCAAGGATGCCATCACTGTCATCTTCTTTGATCCCTGGTGGTAGGGGAGGTGGTAGTGAGAGTCTTGGCCTGGGGCACCCTCTCTCCCCCTTGAAACATACTCCCTCGGTTTCCAGAAACTGCCTTCCCCACCCCTCACCCTGCCCTCCACTTTCCTCCTACCTTCATGGCTCCTGCTTCTTAGCCTCTAACCCCTCCCCTCCTATTTTGGGACTCTGGGCATCCACTCCTGGACCCTCCTCTTCATGTCCCACTCTCCCCTTCCACAGCCTCAGCATAGAGCCCCATGCCTGCTGGTCTGACAGTCCCCAGACCTCTCAAGCTCAGCATATCCTCAACACCACGCTCATCAGCTCGCCCCTACAAACATCTGTTTCTCAAATGGAATATTGCACCCACTGTCACCCAGACCCCAGAGCCAGGCACCTGAACCTTGGCTGCTCCCCTCTCTTCCAGCCTCATTCTACTCCATTACCAAGGAGCTCTTCCCACAGGACTCCTCTTCAGGCTATCTACTTGGACCCATTTTACAATCTCTCACCAGGACAACTGCTGTGACCTCACTGAACTCCCTGCTTCCCCCTGTCCCTCAGTTCTCCCCTCAGTCCTCCAAAGGGATCTTTCTAAATGTAAATCTTGCCCTACTACTCCCTGACTCAGAATCCTTCCATGGATCCTCATTGCCCTTGTGATAAAGTCTCAACTCCTTACCATAACCTCAAAGCCCTGCAGGGGCTGCTCCTCCTTGGCCTCATCTCTCTCCACTCCCTCCCCTCCCCAACTTTAGACCCAGCCTGACAGTTCTTTCAGTTTCCAAATGCTTTGTGGCTCCCTCACCATTGGACCTTGGCACATGTTGTTCCTTTTGCTGGAACACCCGCTCATCTTCAGGTTCATCTGGCCAACTGTCATCGTGCTCAGCTTAAACATTTCCTCCTCAAGAGTCTTCCCTGATGCATTCATTTGATGCATTTATTAAGCTCCAACTCAGTGCTTCTCCCAATTCATCCCTGATTCCTTCTGTTCCCCCCACTGAAACTACTTTCCCTATGAATTATAAGTGCCTTGTGTGAGTCTGTCTCCTCCAGCTGCTTTAGGTGACACCAAGCACAGTGCCTGGCACACAGTAGGTGCTCAGTACGTGTTGAATAAGTGTTTGCATGGCCTGTCCCTTAAGACTTATGTGCTGTTGTTTAGAGGAGAGAGATTCTGCGGGCTGGCCCTCCCCCATCCTTCTGGCTGCTTTAAACATCGCTCAGCCCACCACTAACACACACATGTGACTCCCTGGCCTCACACCGTCCTGGTGCCCAAAGCCCAGGGGATAAAGCTTGGCCTTTGAGGACATTCATGATCCAGCTTCAACCTGTCTCTTCCTTAGTTCCTCTTCACCTCTCTCCCACCACATACAGTTAGTTGGTCCTCATTATTTATGGATTTCATATTTGCAAATCACTCACTTGCTGAAATTTGTAATCCCCAAATCAATACCTAGGGCACTTTTGTGGCCATTCACAGACACGTGCAGAAGAGTGAAAAATCTGAGTCACCGGATGTGCACATTCCTGGCTGAGGTTGAACAGGTGACACTCTGCCTTCTTGTTTCTGCTCTCATACTATAAATGAATGTCCTTTTTGTGGTCCATTTAGTGCCACATGTTAAATATTTTTGTGCTTTTTTAAAAAAGATTTTTATTGATTTTTAGAGAGAGAGAGAGAAACATCGGCTGCCTCCTTACACAGCCCCTACTGGGGATGGAGCCTGCAACCCAGCATGTGCCCTGACCTGCAATCAAACCTGAAACTTCCTTTTCCAGCACGGGACAACACCAACCAGCTAAGCCACACTGGCCAGGGCTATTTTTGTGTTTTTTGTTGATGATTTTACAATTTGAAATGGCCCGAGCCTATGTAGTGCTGAAGTGCTGTCCAGTGTTCACATGCACAAGAAGCCTGTGATGTGCCTGATGGAGAAATTGCATGTGTGTCAGATAAGCTTCGTTCAGGTGTCAGTTACAATTTCGTTGGCCATGAGTTCAATGTTAATGAATCAACAGTTTATATCAAATATGGTGTCCTCTGGAAATACACATAAAACAGTTATGTATTGATCGCTTGATGAAAATGTTGTAAAGAGAGACTCAGAGAAACCTAGTTCTGTATTTTCCCTAGGAGCAATGGTGCACTAATTCACTGATTCGGTGTTTGTGTAGATTTTGTAGAACATAGCTACCACAAATAATGAGAACCTCCTGTGCACATAGCCTCAGACACACATGCCCAGCTCCAGCAATACCAGGCCGCTCGCCGTTCCCTGAATGCACCATGCTCTTCAGCACCTCCAGGCCTTTGCTCGAACTGTTCCCCCTGCCAGGAATGTCACTCCATCTGGCAACTTCCTAGTCATCTTCAAGGCCCAGCTCAATTATTCACAGATATTTAGTGAGTGTCTCTTGGGTGCTAGGTACCACTCAAAGTGTTTGGGGAAACAGCAGTGAACAAAACAAAGATCCCTCTCTCATCATGGTGATAGCACTCTCCGCCCTGTGACCAGGTTACCTTCGAGTGAGAGTATCCTTAATATAATGAATTAAGTAAGTAAATAAAAAAATAATTTAAAAAATTTGTATATATATAATGAATAAGTGCTAAACACTTTATATAGACTGCTCATCTTGCAACCACCACAACCACGTGAGGTTAGGAATCATCGGCACTGTTTACAGACAACAAAATCAAACCTTAAGGTCTCATCACTGGCATGTGGCAGCGACATAAGAATGTGCCTCTTTGCTTTGGGGTCCATGCTTCCCACCGGGCCTGGAGTCTCTGAGGGCAATGACTGAGTGTGACTCATTAGCGAAACACCACCACCCCCAGCTCTGAATGTGATCAACACAAGCAATACATCTCCTTTGACTTCTCTGCCCCAGCCACACTGGCCTTCCTTGAACCTATCAATCTCTTCCCACCTCAGGACCTTTGCACTTGCTGTTCCTTCTACCTAGAACACCCTTCCCCCAGCTCTTTGTCAGTCTCCACTCTCTTCATTCACGCACTTTCCCAGGGATGGACACAGATTTGCCTTCCAGGACCACAAGTAATTCTGCAGTAGGCCTTCTTGCCCTGGGCCCCTTATGAGCCTGTGAGAATTCCTTTTGAACTGGAATTTCTACTCACAGGGTATGTTTATACTTAATTTAACTAGCCATGCCAGGCGACCATCCAGAAGCTCTGCACCCATTGCACGCCTACCAACAGTGCCCACATCCCAACCAATTCCTCACATTATTCGACTGGCTAGATTTTTGTCAGCTTACAAGTGATATCTCCATGTTTATTTGCATTTCTCTGACACTAATGCATTTAAGCACTCATATGCTCATGGGCTTATGGTCCCCTTTCCAGTAAACCATGTTTTATTTATGGGATGCTCTGTTTCTTGTTGATTTGCAGAAGTTTCTTGTATGTTTCAGATCTTAGCCCCTTGTTAATTTCAGACATTGTATTTTTTAATTTTTTTTTTTTGCCTTATGGTTCACGCCCTTGAAGTTTTGTTTCCAGGCATTCTCTGCTCCTAGAAGATTTTCTCCTACATTATCTTCTATTAATTTTACAAGTTTATCTCTTACTTTTGACTTGCTAATCACCTGAAGTCCTTTTTGTATGTGGTAATAGGTTGAGATTTGATTTTATGGTGCTCCAGATAGCAAGTCACAGCCATTATTTTATAACTTATCACCCTATTTATTTTTTATTTATCATAATCCATAGCTTGGAATATAGCTATTACCACTGAGCTGTTTGCAGCTGTCTTTTCCTATTGGCCTTGAGTTTCTTGAGAGCAGGGACCATGTCTATCTTGTTCCCATTCAGTCCCTAACTTGGACCTAGCACATAGTAGGAGCTCAAGGAATATGTGTTGGGGGGAGGG